CCCAACCCAACCTGCTATAACCTAACCAACCCGCTATAACCCAACCTGCTATAACCTAACCCAACCACTATAACTAACCTGCTATAACCCAACCTAACCTGCTATAACCTAACCTAACCTTACTCCAACCTAACCTGCTATAACCCAACCAACCTGCTATAACCTAACCCTAACCTGCTATAACCTAACCTGCTATAACCTAACCTAACCTGCTATAACCTCAACCTAACCCGCTATAACATAATCTCACTTTTGTATATAATTTAACCTGTTGTGACCATATTATAATCCACAGTGTTAAGCGCCATAATGGAACATAAGCAATTAGTAGGTCTTAGTTAAACTTGGGTGGCTGTTACCGTAGAGTTTTATTTATATATACAAGGCGTTTTAATTGCCAAGACCGCGTGATGGGGGTACTTGTTGATGTCTCTCTCTCTCTCCCCCTCTCTCTCTCTCTCTCTCTCTCTATGGAATCTTGTCCTTAATGTCTCTCCTACTTTTACCGTATTGAAATGTTTTGTACCAGTAATTACATCTGTACCCGCACTGTACTTCATCATTACTGCCCTACCACTTTGTACTCGTGGATATCCTGTACCTGTGTATGTACTACCTGGTTAATTACCTGGTCCGCCTTCACCTGTGTTACCTCTACCTGTTCTGGGGAGCGACACACCAGCCACCGTTCCTTCAGTGATATACCAAAACAATGGAAACAAAGTAAACACTCCAGATAAACTGAGGTGGAATATACAGAGAGAGAAGAGAGGAGAGAGAGAGAGAGATATAATGTCTCCCTCACACCACCATCAACAGTAGCTCTGCTGAACTCAACACTAGCGTCAGCACCAGCTATCATTAACGCCTAGCTAATATACACACGAGATGCTTTGCTACGAACGTCCGCCCACCTTACCTTAACTTTTTATAATAACACGATGTTTATGGACGCTTCGCCAGACAAATATTGACCCGCACTGGCACATACACTTACTAACGCACACACTTACTAACGCACACACTTACTAACGCACACACACTTTATGAACGCACACACTTTATGAACATATACCCTTATGAATACACTTATGAACACACTCCCTTATGAACACACTTATACACACATACTTATGAACACACACTTATCAACACACACTTATACACAGACATAGACTCATCTCCAACAGAACATTAACACACTTAGAAAAAATTAAACCACTAGATGAAACGTTGTCAACCCCCTCTCGCCCCTCCTCCCTAGTGCCTGCATTGGCGTTCTTTTACGACAGGCGTATTAACCTCTAATGGGCAGTGTCTTATCTGGTAATGGTTGAACTGCGTTGTGAATCACCTGTCATTATTCTGATAGTACATGCATAGCTCACGACGACACACACTCTCGTCTATGTTAATGTTTTAATGCATAAACTACCACCCACGCTGTCATACATTACCAGGGTGAGAAGAAGAGGGGGAAGAGGGAGGGGAGGGAAGAGGAGGGGGGTATGATGGGAGGGGAAGGGGAAGAGGGAGGTTGTAATGATGGGGAGGGGAGAAGAGGAGGGGAGGATGGGGAGGGGAAGGGGAAGATGGAGGGTTGTAATGATGGGGGGGGAGGGAAGAGGGGAGAGGAAGAGGGAGGGGTGTAATGATGGGGGGGGGAGGGGAAGAGGAGGAGGGGGGAGGAAGAGGGGGGGGAGAGGGGGGAATGATGGGGAGGTAAGGGGGGAAGGGAAGAGCAGGAGGAAGAAGAGGAAAGGAGGAGGAGGAGTATTAGAGAGGAAGAGGAAGGAGAGAAGAAGAAGGAAAAGGAAATAAAGAGGATTTAGGAAGAAGTGGAAGATTATTTGGAAGATTAAGAATTATAGAACAGGAGGAGAAAAATCACAAAGAAAAAGGAGAATGAGAGAGAGAGAGAGAGAGAGAGAGAGAGAGAGAGAGAGAAGAGGGAGAGAGAGAGAGAGAGAGAGAGAGAGAGGAAGACAGGAAGGAAAATAAAAGAAAAGAAGAATACAGAAACAGAAAATAAGAAGAGGATAAATGATGATGATAATGAACAAAGTTATGGGAAGTGTGGTGTGTGTGTGTGTGTGTGTGTGTGTGTGATATTAAACAATGTGTAGAGTTGCGGGAGAGAGACAGACTGATAAAGGAGAGAGAGAGAGAGAGAGAGAGACAGAGGGGAGAGAGAGAGAAGAGAGAGAGAGACAGAGAGAGAATATTATCAGTGCTGCAACAACTGACACATTTATCTCACTTAACTCTTCATAATAAATAAACTTAGGATACTACACACACAACACACACACACACACACTCTGATAAGACCCTGACGTTGCATAGTACACTGCAAGCAACATCTGATGTCTAAAAACTGCACACCACACAAAGTAAGCGACCATTAACCTGTGTTTACCTGAGATTAATAATACCTAACCCGAGTTATTTCCCACATTAATGACGGTAAATATTGACTTAGTACCCGTGTTGACAAGAT